GATGACAATGGGGTCATGTGCAGGCCAGCCGCAACTGGGGGAGCTGTGGTCCTTACCCCCTCTGATGGGGCCCATCGATTTCGACTCTCCTCTCGAGAGATCGTCGATGCGATGGTTTCCCCCAGGGGGGTAAGGACCACAGCTCCCCCAGTTGTGGCTGGTCGGATTTGCGCGACCTTCAGACGCCGGCGGGGGGGCGCGTTGCAGTGCTCTCTTGCAGCCTGGGCAGGTCGCGCTCGCCGCTTCTCGCTGCGGGCTTTTGTTGGGCCCGGCGGCCCTGGGGCGCCCGACGATGCCGCGGGGGGCCCGCGGCGCTCGCCTCGCGCCGGGGGGGGCTCGTGGTGAAAAGGGGGCTGGGGGGGGGCAGCGGGGTCTGCAAAGGCCGTTCGTGCGAGCTGCTGCCGGGGGCGTTCGCTGGGGGATGGGCCTCGTATCGCATCGAGAAGTGGTAAGGACAGCGATGGATACCTCGCCCGCTGAGGATCGTGTGCCCTCCACTTGCTGCCGAACTCGGAGGGGGTGGATCACTCAACACATTGCTTCTTGTGGGGGTAGAGGAGCTTCCTGAGAATGTCAACTACAGCCGCGTGGTCTTTTGCCCTTCAAGAGCACCCTACCTGGTGAACTTATGGATGTGGCGCGCGCCCCTGCTGCGACCCTCTCTCTCTCACTGTCTCTCTCTCTCTCTCTCCCTCTTTCTCTTTTTTTTATTTCTCATTATTTATCATTATTTCCTTTTGTTTCTCTCTCTCTCTCTCGCTTTTATCTCTCTCTCTCTATCTCTCTCTATTGCGTCTCTTTCTGTTTCTCTTGCTCTCTCTCTCTCTCCCTCTCTCCCTCTCTCTCTCTCTTTTTTGTTTTTTTTGTTCTCTCTCTCTCTCTGTCTCTCTTTCTCTTTCTCTCTCACTTCCGATATCCGACGCGTCGAACGAGATCGTCTCTCGCGCTATCGGATCGGGCTTCGCGCAGCAAGCGCCGCGCGCAGTGGGTTCGTCTCAAACTGGTTTCGACAAAGGTCGCCAGATGTCAGGCAACATCCGCTCAGACTAGTCGCCCCTCGCTCTGCGGATTGAGGTGTGTGTGGGGGGGGGTGCTCCGATTGCGGCGCCGCGTTCGTGGGCTTCGAGGCTGCGTCTCCGAGCCTGGCGCGCGCCTGGACTTTCTGAGCTCTCGCGATCGCGAGCAATCCGCAGCGCGTCATCCGAAGGATGCGCTATATATATATATATATATATATATATATCTCGCGCGCCTCGCTGGTCTGCGTCGGCGGCGGCGCCTGCGAGGGATTCCAGGCGCTTTCGGGGGTCGAGCAGGGATGCCCCGCGTGTGGCTCCATAATTATCCACTCTGTGGTCAGATCCTGTGGCTCGCCGCGTGTGTTGTGCTCTCTCGCGTTTTCTTTAATTCGTCGTGCTCTGCCGGCGATCTGGCCCGCGCATCGAGAGATTTTCTTCGCGCGCTGCTGGCGTTGCTCAGACCGCTGCCTCGTTGCGGGCGTGCCGCTGGATTGCGGGCCAACGCCAGCGATGGGACATGTTTCCAACCGGAAGAAGAGCAGGGAGGTGGTTCTCACTCGCGTGCGCGCTGCTGGTCTGAGTGCCTCCCGCGCTCGTATCTGTGGATGTCGGCGCATATCTCGGGATAAGAACTGGCGCATATAATGGCGATGGGCCTTCGATGCTACTGTCCGGGAAGCATTAATTACGCCCTGCCTTGTTGCAGACATGTGGTAGTTGGTTTCACGCAGACGCTCATGAGCTACATCGCGCAGGCCATGGGCGCGCCCACATACGCTGCTCAGTTATTATTGACCACTTCGGCTATCATTCGCACGCAGAGGGAAGTGCGACAAGCGGTGGGAGGATGGCAGGCTCCGCGCGGCTTCTTGCGCATTCGTCTCGACGTCGACTTCGGTGCAATATTTTTCGCCAGCTGCGAGAGAACTGGGGGCGCCTTACTCAAGCTTCTCATGCCCTTCAGGACCCACGGCGCAAGGACTTTCAAGGTAGGGTTCCTCAACAATTTCGCGTTTCTGAGTCTGCGGCGCTTGAGTACCTGCTGCCCAGATTGAGGGTCTGGGCCTTCCGATTTGTGCATGGATGATGCCGACTCCGCGGTCGTGTCATTCGCTTCCACCTCCTCGCTTCTTCGGTTCTTTGTTTTATTCTGGCGTGCAGTCTGAAAATTATTTGTGTGGACTGCGTCCGCTCGATGTCGACGACCTGTCGGACTCTGCAGATTCGGATGCCATGCTGCCGCTTGCGACGCCATCCCCCGTTTTTTTGTCCTGTCCGAGTGCGGTTGCTTGTATCTCGCATGTCCTTTTTGCGATGTCAGCCTTTTTCCTTTGGTGATCCTCGGAAGCGATTTCTCCCGCGCTTGTTCGAATGGGGTGCTACTGAGAAGCTCTTGTCCACTACTGTCAGTACAGAGTTGTTGCATTGTGTGTTTTCTTCGAATGCGTGCTTGCGGATTGCGCTGCCCCGACCTCTTCCGA